ATGATAAATATATTGTCTACTGGTAGTCTCGATGACCTACTTATAGACCCTTCTTTTGGCGAGGGTGAAGCCGATTTCGCCATTTGTGTCAGTGCTCTTCGCGAGTTTATTTTGCTGCGATGCTGAATATCACTTCGAGGATCACTTGAAAATTCGTTACTTGAGTTCGCTAGCTTTAAGTTGTGTAGTTAGATGAATTAGGAATCTTAGCATTTATGCTAAAGCAAGACTATTGTCCGATGGGGCGCGTATAGACTGGTTTCCCATTGGACCGATACAGGCTTTGCCTACGAGACCAAGGCAAGGTCAAAGTTAAAGTACAACCTAACGACTTTTTGGGATGCATCGCGAAGTGAAATTTGCCGCGAAAATCAAGCCTTCTCGTCCAGCTCACCTGCTGCTATAAATCTAAGAGGAAGCCAGTTGCATCTGTCAAGCCTAGAAAATAAATGTGAATATGCATAAAACGGATTGATGTTTTGCCAGCCACTTAAAAAGAAGAATATTTGATACAAATGTAAAGAGGGTTTTTATGAATGTCTTAGGATAAAAGTAATGCTGAGGATTTCATTTCAAATTAAAGTGCATACTGAGGATATTCATGGGTTGAGCACACCAGAAGACGATGGCTGATTATTATTGTCCTGCATTTGTTCGGCCTTAATACAACGTTCATGTTGATGCAGCCCACGAAACATCCTCTCTCATTTTGAGTGAAAACAGGCTTTATTTTCTTTTGTCATATAAGAAACATTATTCCTTCATAAATATCATGTCAACATTAAGTCAAGAGGGCTGACTGACTCTATCTTATAACCTTTCGTTACCCATATTTATAAAATATATTCACTCTATTTTGTTAAAGTAATGAAGAAGTTGTATTGAATTTTACCACAATTATACAAGTAGATCTTGAGTTGCCATTGAATTTGATAAAACCTTGTTTAGCAAAAGGTATTCATACCCAGGCTGAAGTGCATTGCAGTATCAACTTTGCCTAGTTCTCCCCAGCACACTCAATAGGATTCACACCGTGTTGGCGCACTATCTAATTTCGACACGTTAACTAATACGGTTCGAATCCCGTTGCCATTCTGGATGAGAATACATTTTGCGAAGCAAGGCTGTGTGAAATTCATTGGAAGCACTTGGCTTATTCATATCATTGTGGGAAAAATTTACTACCAGTCCTTCATCACTTTAAACGAAATAGGTGGAATACTTGTCATATAAATGATCCGCAGGTAGTCTCGAAATCGTTACTGTAAAAACAAAAAATCTATTTACTTATAGCAAAAAATATATTTAGATTTAGATTCATATGGAATGATTGGATTAGTTATCTTATACTCGAATGTGTCCTTTATGTAAATAGGTTGTCGTCTTTTGTAAATACTCAGCTTTGAGTAATTGCAAAAGCCTAACGTCAGCACTGGGTCGTCATGGCTTAAGGACCCAAAGTAGAACATGACCGAGATTACGTAAACCGTAAGTAATTCCAGTCGAATTGATGTCATATAAACCTGTACGCGTTTACGTCAGGTTTCGAAGCCACCAGTCAAAACCCGTTAGTTCGAGTTCATTAAGGCTTAATCAACCAACGCAAATCAGAGCAGAGATTGCGTTATCTCTTAAGTTTGCTTTGGTTTATCACATTGACATGCCCGTTGAACGAGTGTGGATTTATGCGAAGAAAAGTTGGGTTTCAAGCAATCTCTTGTTTCATAATTGTTGAGCTTACTTCCATTTCGAGTAAGAGTTTACTTGACTCGTTAGCTTGAATTTTGTTGTGACGATGATACCTTGCTCTGATGATGTTCATCATATGACGGACGAAAGCTTAGCAACTTTTCACCGGAATCGAAAGAGATTGCCTTGGAAACAGCGTCAGCATGAATTTTCCAGTAAAGCCAATCGACAGCTGGTCAAGAGGATTCGGCCGTCGTCTTCTGGTGCAACCGATCTTCGAATTTCTTCACCCAACACTTTCACTCGAAATGGAAGTAAGCTCAACGAGTGTGGATTTAGCCTTAACCATCCCTCAGCTGGCAAATTACGTCAGCTTCTTCTGGACAACGACTCAACACCCTCTAGCTCCTCTAATCTTTCAACCTAGCATAAATAAGTCTTACTCAACTTTTTATCAGCATTTCTCAAATTCAACGTTTTCCCCAATATAGTGGTTTTGTCAGTCTCTCTTATCTTTTGTTTCCTGGCAGGCGTACCATAATCAGTAAGCCTCTGCCTCTGATATAAGTTTATCTTATGTTCAGCCACATTTGACCGTTCGGCCCAGCTGCCTTTACAAGAGTTTTATGTTCTACCAATCTTTGGCCGATAGGCAGAGGCACACACAGTTATAAACATTCACATTTAAGAGAACTAATTAAACTATTCTATATCCATCTATATCTAAGTGTTATTCTGTTATGAGCAAATATCGTTTGTAGGATAGAGCCTGCCAAAAGGAATCTGTCGTCTTCTTCTAGTTGGATCGACCTGCAAATCTCTTCATCAAAACACTTTCATTCGAAATGAAAGTAAGCTCAACAATTATGAAATATGGCATTCCTCGAAACCCGGTCGGCCTTCTTGAATAAGTGTTAATTTGAGACTTGCAAAAATGAGCTACAGTCCTGATGATGTTTTTCATATGACGAAAGTCAGCTCAGCTAGTTTTCGCCCAAAAGCAAAAAAGAGGCCTAGTGGACTGCATTAAGCCAAACGCTGTACCAAAGCTACACGATCGCAAAAAACAACGGCACTTATCCGTCGTCTTCCAATAAGACCACCTACAAATCTCTTCATTATGCACTTCTATACGAAGTGTCAATCTTCACACTTCCAAGACTGCTGTTGCCGAAAGAAAGTGTGCTTCTGGCAGACCAGTGATTGGGACACGAAGGTCTGAATAGGGGAGAGCGTCTACCCTTGCAGAGCGGCCTTCTAGCGCACTAGTTCTGCTTACAAATCTCTGAGAAGCTGTGAAAGTGGGGTTCAGTTTGACTCACCTACCTC